TTATGTAAATTTTAAGCTTTTTTCATGAAAATTTAATTCTTTTTATCTAATAATAACATTTTTTAATTTAATAAATAAATATAGATAAAGATTATTTAATTTTTATATTTATTTTATCTTATGTGTTTAACACATGAGTTAAAATATATTAAATAAAAACTCATTAAAACTTTTTCTTTTTGCTATATGTCAAGGCTAAAAGTCCAAAAATAGCAATAGACAGTAAATCAGACCTAACAAGCAAGATATCACTAGCATTTAAGCAAAAAAAGGGAATCAATGAAGGAGTAACACCAAAGCAAGAATAAGACATGCAATTATTTAACCCTATTTTGACTAATTCATCAACATAACTATTAGCTTTTTTAAAGACATGGTTAAATTTGATGTACTTAATAAATTTTAACAAGTTCTTAATATTACAAATTAGATAAAAAAAAAAGAATATAGGATTGATATTGAATATACAAATTTAATTGTAAAGCTTCTTTAGAGTTACTTTCCACCAAAATTATATAAATGTCTATAGAAAAACCAGTTGTAGATCAAGGAAGATACTAATAATTCAGCCACAAGAGCAATATAATTATGAGTTTAATACAAAAGCTAATTATAAGCTTTTCATTATTGTCTTGCATGAGTCCACCACAAGCCACTTTTCAATAAAAAGATGAGATAACACCATCAATGTTCAACTTGAGCTAGTCTTGATGAGTAGTCCATTTAACTGTGTTCTAGTCCTTGACAATCTTAGGCAAAGTTTTACTATGACTCCTGTAGTAAAAAGAAAAAAAATATCAATATTATAATTTTTTTTTGTAAATAAACAAATGAGGTAAAATAGAATGGAATTGAAAAATAAAGTATACTTGTTTATCCATAAATGTCAAATGATCACACTAAATAATTTGAACCAATAAGTAAATTTGCTAAATTTGTGATTAGATAAGTTCAAGATTAATCAGTCCTAACCCTTTTACTGAAAAAAGAGATCTATTGATCAGGGAAAATAAAGTAAGTCAAACTTGTTTAGTATAAAAATAGTCCCTAATAACATGCATGATAGTTTCTAGAGCTTTCCTACACCTAAAACACAAAGGAGAGACAATCATACCCTTTAAGATCCTCTCTTTATTAGTAAATAATTTGCCATGAGTCAATTTCCACAAGAAAAAAGTAATTTTGGGAGGTCTTTATCATTTACAAATAATCTTAAAATTCTCTTGACCAAAGCTAATATTTTGAATATAACTATGGACTAGTTGTAGAGCTGTCAATTTGGCTCTTTACCTACAAGTCCCCTCATATAACCTACTACATAGCCCTATATTTTTTAAGCCCTATATATAGTGGGTCTATTTTGGCCCTAAACTCTAATATATAAACAAGATGTGGGTTAGGGTTAGGGCTAAAAGTGGGTTAGCTCACACTTTTTAGAAAGTAATTAATAAATATTATGTTACTTTTTTTAATAAAAGATACATATATTTGTTTATTATTTTTATTAATTATTTTATTTAAAATTAATAAAAAATATCTTAAATATAAAAATATAATTTAAAAAATAAAAAATTCTATCAATTTAGGCTAAAATTTAAATTTGCAAACACTCATTAATTTTTGCTAAATTCACAAGTTACTTTTTTACACAAATAAATTTTGCAATATTAAGTATCATATGTCTACAATTTTCATACTGACAGTGTTATATTTTTTGTAGCATATTAAATATTATTAAAATAAATAATTTTGAGTATTTTGATAATATATGACTTAACAAAGTTAGCTAACATTATTTTTTATTATCAATTTTGTGTCTCTATTATCACTTTAAGGTATTTATTGAACATATGATCTTCTTAAAATAATTTTATAAAAGAAATAAATAAACACTTTTTAGAGATTAATTAATAAATATTATTTATTTTTATTAAAAAATAAATATTTTTGTTTATTATTTTTATTAAAATATTTTATTTAAAATTAAATTTTAAATATAAAAGATGTATTTTAAATATAATATAGTTTATCAATTCTGTATAATCAATTTATTTCACCTTAAAAAATAAATTCTATCAAATTAAGATAAGTCAAAATTTAAATTTGTAAACATTTATTAATTTTTAATAATTTCATAAATTATATCAATGAATTTTATAATATTAAGTATTACATGTTTATAATTTTCATGATAAGAATATTGTATTTATTTCTTTAATACAATAAATTTAATTTAAATAAATTATTTCAAATATTTTGATAATTTAACAATAGATGACTTAAAAAATTTAACCAATGTTATTTTTTTGTTGTTAGAACTTTAAAAATATTTATTAAATGCGTGATGTTTTTAAAATAATTTTATAAAAATATATAAATAAACATAATAATATAAAAATATATAAACATGAAAAGTTGTATGATTAATACTTAAATAAAATTATAAAATAACATGTTAAGAAATTATTAATAAAATTATATGAATGAAAAATGTTACTATAATTTAATAATTATCAATAGTACAAACAAAAATTAGATAAGGATGTAACTTAATTTTATAATAAATTATTATATTTTATTTAATATTATTCAATAGCAATAATTCATTCTAAATATTTAATATTATACAATTTAATTGTTTTTCATTTATTTTTAAATAATTTTATTTATTTATAAATTTATAGTAAAAAATGTTATATAAAATAAATATTTTTAATGAATTGTAAAAATATTTTTAAAGATAATTGGCCCATGGGTAAGCCTTAGCCCGCTTAATTCTATGGGCTTTTTAGTCTCGTGGGCTTTTTGGCCTTAACCCACATGAGTTAGGGCTAAATTAATTAGGGCGGCCCATTTGACACCTCTAACTAGTTGGTATGCTGATTTGATGGAAAAAAACATTATTAGATGATAAATTTCAAATTGTAATATTAGGGCCCCTAGTTAGCAAGAGGAGCAAGTTGTGCAATATTATGACAAATCAGGGGTGGAAGGAAGGGGAAGAGAACATATTTGATTTTAGGCTAGTCTCAACCATCTTTTGTGATAATAAAGTTATGTGGGTATCTTAATCAATAGTTGAGGTAGAAACCAATTAAAAATTAGATAAATTAAGAGATTGAATGTTCCAATTATTATTCCCAATAATCTAGCTAAGTCCTTGTAAAAAAGTAGACTAAACTAAAATAATGCTTTTCTATAAATGAGAGATCCTCTTATTCTCTCTAAGACCAAGGAACTTATTAAGAGAAAAATCATATTTTTTGCCAATAACTTGAACTCACAAATCAAATGGAGAGGACCTTAACCTCTAACACACTTTCATTATATAAGTTTTATTTAGATCATGAAGATTTTTAAAACCAAAGTTACCCTAAATCTTAAGTTTATAGTTTTTTACCAACCAATAAGAGATTTTTTACTCCCCGGAGAATCTCATATGAATTGCTTATAAAAATTATCAATCTCATTACAAATTGGGATGAGAATAAGAATAATTTGCATAAATACTTATCTAACCGAGTAGAAGGACTGATATCCAAATTCTCACTAATAGTCTAAATTATTGAAGAATCAATATTTTTAGAAAAAATAATGGAAGATTTATTAAAATTTATTTTTAATCCTAAGGCAAAACAAAAAATATTTAAAATTAATTTAATTGCTATAAATCGACTTTAACAATTAAAATGATACTATTTGTAAAAAACAAATGAAAAACTTTTGGATCCTAAATGTTAAAAGAAAAAGGACACAATCATTACTCAAACTTTTATCTATAATTAAATGAGTTAATCTTTCAATATAAAAAATAATAAGATAAAGAGACAATGAATTTCTATATGGATATCTTTAAAAGGTAAAAAAAAATAAAATTAGAAGATTTGATTATTTATATTTAAAAACATAGTAAAAACAAAATATAATGATAAATTAATTGAAAAGACCAAAATCAACATCAACTTTGTGTAGGCAATCAATAAAACTCTATCTCAAACTATCATGTAATTATGTAAATTTAATTTTTAAAATAAACAATACTACCTTTTCTTGAATTAGTTATGACTATTTTAAAAATTATATAAACAAAATTTGTATCAAATTTTTTCCTAAAACATTTTAATTATATTTTTTATTAAAAAAATTTATAAATTAAAATGATTAAATTATATTTTACTCAAACTTAGCTTAAAAAAATAACTAATTTTTTCTTTAAACTTTTACACATTATAAAATTTTATAATTTTTATCACATGTTATTTTTTTAGAACCTTTTAAAATTGCTTTTATTTTTTTGACAAATTTTTTAAAATTTGAATAAAATTTTTAGAAAATGGATAGAAGATTAAATCTGTATAATTTTAAAAATAAAACACTTAATTAGTTAAAATAAATAAAATCACACATAACTCAAATAATAATTAAAACAAAATTTATGTAACATTTTTATCATGCAAAATTTATGTTTTTATATGAAAATTTTATTTTATTTTATCTAATAATTACACATTTTTTTAATTTAATAAATAAATAAATATAAATAAAGATTAATTAATTTAACTTATATTTATTTTATCTTATATGTTTAATACACGAGTTAAACTATATTAAATAGGCACTCATTAAAATTTTTAAGTATTTAATATGTAAATATGAACGTCTAAAACAAGAAATATTTTTAACGAGCGTATGTCAATAGTAATATAAGTAATGATTATTTGAATATACTTAATAACAACACTTTAAATATTATGCCATAAATAGTTTTATATTTATTTGTGGATAAATTATTTTTAATATAATTACACTTTTATCTTATGTTTTAATTTTTTACAATAATATAATTTTTATTAAATATAAAATATGTAATTTAATAAATATCATCTTTTAAATTTTATTTTATTTTACAATACAAGGTTTATTCCATATATTAATTTTCTAAGAAAGGGAAATTAGTTCTTTTTGCATTAGATCATATTCTAATTATTATCAACCGGGTTGAGCCGGGTTGGGGTGGCTTACGGATTGCAACCTCCTCCTTCAACCTAAAACCCTCATTCTACCTCTTTGAATTGGGACGCAACGAAATAAACTTCTGATTACAGTAACTACGTCGCTGCAGGCACAGCTCAATCCCTAGAAGTGATCAAATTTCAGGGTGAGTCTCTTCTTCACTTTCTTAGTTTCTTTCACTCATTTTTTCTCTGCTTTCAAATTTAATGCTTTGTAGTTTGATTTCTTTTCATAGCCCTTTTCGATTCAGTGTTTCAGTTTTATCCTCAAAATTGCGTGTCTTATACAGGCTGATACCAAACCATGGTTCAATATAACTTCAAGAAGATCACTGTGGTGCCTAATGGGAAGGACTTCGTTGACATAATCCTCTCTCGCACGCAGCGTCAGACACCAACCGTTGTTCACAAAGGATATGCAATTTCACGCCTTCGCCAATTCTACATGCGCAAAGTCAAGTACACTCAGCAGAATTTTCATGAAAAGTTGTCTACCATTATTGATGAGTTTCCTCGCCTCGATGATATTCACCCTTTCTATGGCGATCTCTTACACGTACTCTACAACAAAGACCATTACAAGCTTGCTCTTGGACAAATCAACACTGCCAGGAACCTTATTGGTAAGATTGCTAAAGATTATGTCAAATTATTGAAGTACGGCGATTCCTTGTATCGATGTAAGTGTTTGAAGGTGGCTGCTCTTGGCCGCATGTGTACTGTGATTAAGAGGATTGGCCCTAGTTTAGCTTATTTAGAACAGGTTAGACAACACATGGCTAGGCTTCCATCCATAGATCCTAATACAAGGACTATTTTGATATGTGGGTATCCTAATGTTGGCAAGAGCTCTTTCATTAACAAAATTACTAGGGCTGATGTGGATGTGCAGCCCTATGCTTTCACTACCAAGTCCCTCTTTGTAGGTCATACGGACTATAAATACCTAAGGTACCAGGTAATTGATACGCCCGGGATTCTGGATAGGCCTTTTGAAGATCGTAATATTATTGAGATGTGCAGTATAACCGCCTTAGCACATTTGAGGGCTGCAATTTTGTTTTTCTTGGATATCTCGGGGTCTTGTGGTTACAATATTGCTCAACAGGCAGCTCTATTTCACAGCATTAAGTCTTTGTTCATGAACAAGCCGCTGATTATAGTCTGCAACAAGACTGACTTGCAACCATTGGAGGGGGTGCCTGAGGAAGACATGAAGTTGGTCATGGATATGAAAGCTGAAGCCTTGAAGACTCTGGTCGGTCAAGGAGGTGAGGCTACGGATGATGATAGTGTGTTGTTGACCATGAGCACTCTGACAGAAGAAGGGGTCATTGCAGTAAAAAATGCAGCATGTGAGAGGTTATTGAATCAGAGGGTGGAGATAAAAATGAAGTCAAAGAAAATTAATGATTGCTTGAATAGGTTTCACGTTGCAGTACCTAAGCCTCGTGACCAGAAGGAAAGGCCGCCATGTATCCCTCTGGCAGTTTTAGAAGCTAAAGCTAAGCAAGTAGCAGAGAAGGAAAAGAGAAAGACTGAAAAGGATCTGGAGAATGAAAATGGTGGGGCAGGTGTATACTCAATGAACCTTAGAAAGAGTTATATTTTAGCCAATGATGAATGGAAAGAAGATATACTCCCAGAAATTTTGGATGGACACAATGTGTACGATTTCATTGATCCTGATATTCTGCATAGGGTCGAAGAATTGGAAAGAGAAGAAGGGTTGAGACAGTCAGAAGCTGAAGATGATGATTTTGAGATTGATGGAACTGAATTGACGCCTGAACAGCAAGCAGCTTTAGCTGAGATTAGGAAAAAGAAAAGCTTGCTCATCCAGCAGCATAGGGTGAAAAAGAGCACTGCAGAGAGCCGGCCAACTGTTCCAAGGAAATTTGATAAGGACAAACAGTTCACATCAGAAAGGATGGGAAGGCAGCTGTCATCTTTGGGGCTTGATCCCACTTTGGCAATTAATAGAATGCGCAGCAGATCTGTCTCTAGGAAAGGTCGGAAAAGGGAAAGATCACCTGAAATGAGAAGTGTTGATGGTGGAGATGGGATGGACATTGATGGTGACACACCTACCAAAAAACAGCGTCTGAGTAGATCAAGGTCACGGTCCAGGTCAGTGTCACACCTACGAAATGAAGTTGTGCCTGGAGAGGGCTTCAGGGATTCTGCCCAAAAGGTCAAGGCAGTTAAACTTGCGAAAAAATCTGTCAAGAAGAGAAACAAGGATGCTCGTCGTGGTGAAGCTGATAGAGTCATACCTAATCTAAAGCCCAAACACTTGTTTTCTGGAAAGCGCTCCATTGGAAAAACCGAGAGACGTTAAAACAGGTATGTGCCTTGCCTGTGTAGCTTGCCTTATTTATCATGTAGCACTGTACCAGACCAAAAAATTCAGCACTTGCTCATGTAGTTGGCCATTGAATACTTTTGTCACAAATAACTACCCAGCTTTATTGATTAGTAACTGATTTTCCTTGGCATGCATTCTTTACATAATATGATATACATGTTTTGTGATCTTAGGAGTTGGTTTTCAGTGTTCCCAAGTCACTGATGTCAATAAATTATTTTCTCTGTAGGGAATGCTGATTTACGCTTTTCAGAGAGATCTGCTGGCATTTTTGTTGCTGCCAAGAATTTTGTTTTGTTTTGTTTTGTTTTTTTTTATTTTATATTAGTTGTGTTTTGTTGGATTTTAAGGTGCAGCTATACCACCATGTTTACTTATACACCTCTGCCTAATTTTATTTTACTTTTATTATTCTACAACTTGTCATTCTGTCGGACTTTATTTATTTTGTTCAATTTTGTAGGCTATGTGTAATCAAAGAAGCTTCTGTTTCATTTTTTTTGAGAAAACATTTGAGTGCTATTTCATATGTATTGCTCCAAAACAGTGAAGCATTTGTTTCAACTATGAGTGTTATTGAAATTTAGTTCATTCTAGACTTTTACTAGCCTGATGGCTCTTTCAACTCAAAACTCTCACATAAGGGTGATTTTGTTCTACTCTTGCACAGGACTAGAACCAATCCATAAAAGAGTGCTTTGATACCTCTTATAATGGTTTAGAAATGATAATTTTACTTTTGAGTGTTAATCCAAATTTGGAGTTTCAAATATTGCAGCTTTGGGGTGACTGAAATCCAAGAACTTGCATTTGCTTTAATTACTTCTATTGATAAAGGTACAATGCAGTTTATGACTGGTATGTGCTAGAACAAGAGTCCCAGAATGATTAACAACCACCGTAAATGACAGTTTTTCGTCCTAACTTCAGGCACCCATCCGCTCCTTTTGGAACTTCAACTAAGCTTCATAGATTTCAGGAAGCACAAGCATTTGAGTAATTAAGTAATCCTAGATAACAAGCCCCTTCATTTTTCAACAGACAGAATGACAGCCAGTTTGTCCGTGATTTAATGTTTGATCCTATGATGCGGTTGATACCAATTTTCGGTTATTTGACGAATGATTCTCTCGGGGGATGGAAGCAGCAAAATAAAAATAACAAAATCAAAGAGTAGGGCCATTATAAAAATATCAAATAATCCAGATACCTCAAACAATTGCTGTCCTTCATCTTTTCCTATTTTTATGCTGCTGCGCCATAGAAGCCGAATTGAGTGTACCAGAAAAACCTGCATCTGAACGCAGTTGCTTTTGAATATAGGGTCGATAAGTCTTGGGGAAAAGTTTTGCGTCATTGACAAAGAACACAAATGTAGGTGGCCTTATAGCTAAATGTTTATTTATTGATTTATCTTTGGTCAACAGTTAAATGTTTATTTATGTATGATGTAATTGCTTCTGGGCCTATATATAACCATATGACAGGAAATTGAAGGCAACAATTCAATGTTTACCGAGAAACGTATAAAGGGGTCGTCAATGATCCAACGTAATAACTGTTATATACTAAAATATAATATTTTAAAAGTATTATACACTAAAAAACTTTAAAAATGATAAATAAAATTAAACTATTTTGTTAACTAAGGAAAATTATTAGATTATATATGGTCTGAAACTCGAGTGATGGATCACCATGATCGCATCCTCTTTGAGGCTAGTATGGTAAATTCAAGTGAGAAAACAGAGCTTGAGTCAAGTCAATGGTTTTCCATTGCTAAAACTAGCTTTTAATCTTCTAGTTTTTCTCTGTTGATTGGTTCTCACTTCTAGCATTTTATATTTTTTTACACTTTCCCTTAAAATAATGGAAATGTATCAATCATGGAAGGAGACATGGAATTTCTATGAACATAAGGTCTAACTAAACCAATATTAATAATATATTATGCTGAAGAGCTATATAATCATTATAAGCTCTCTTATTTCCTAACTTTCCTATAAGCTTAGAATAAATCATTCCGTACCGCGTAGATGCTTGCTTATGGGGTACACTTGGATCTAAATTGCGTTCTTATGTTGACACTGATGATGATATTACCCTTCCTAGGGTTGTTTTTCTGGCTTGAAAACAAGGTATCAAATTCCAATGAGGATAATCACTCCTCCAAAGGAAAGGAGGTGGTAAAGATCAGTGCTGAATTAATAGACAGCCTATTCTCTGAACAACATGAAGAGAACGCCACAGAGAGTGTTGTCAGGGCACACTGTGCTTGCTCTATCTGTGGCAGATTAAGTGACACTGTCACAAGATGCTCACGCTGCATGGATGCTTCATATTGGTAACAATGCTTCTAAATTCATTCACCCTTTTTTGTCCTTTTGTTCATTTATGCATATAGTAGACAAAATATAAAAATGGCCTTTTCAGCTAAAAGTTTTCTTGCTGCTTGTAAGATGCACAGAAAAGACAAAAGATGAGTTTGTTATACAACTTTCGTACTCTATATATATAGTTTTTTTATCCTTCATTTGTTTTTCTATTTTAATTATATATACATGATTTTAAAATACTCACACAAAATTAATGAGGATAGTAAAAATATTCACACTTTATTCATACAAAAATAAAAAATCTTCGTTTAAATTATTTATACATTATTTAAAGTTATCTTCCGGCTTTCTTTCTTTCATTTTTTTCCTGTTTATTTGAGCTAGAGATTTCTTTATCACATATATAGTTTTGAAGTTTCAATTCTGTGATTGGTTTTGATGGATTTCTTTATTAATTGATTTTATCAGCTCAAATGTATGCCTTGTTACGCATTGGAGGTTTTGGCATGAAAATGAATGCAATGAGATAGAGGTGGCAGATCAGGCGGAATCACCTTATCATGGAATGTTCCTTCTCATGGAGCCTGAAAACGTAATGTTACTATCATTAGCAGCTTCAATGCCTTGATTTTATTTTCAATTTGAAAGTGTTTAATTGATGCCTTAACTAGTCTCAGCATATGTGATATGTGTCACATAAATGACATAAATTTCGACTTCCTCAACCCAGGCACTGAAGCTTCTAACTTCAAGAAATTAAAGTTCTTTATACTATTATGCATATTGTGTTAATTGTTTTTTATATTGAATTCCATGTTGATAAATATATTTTATGCAAACTGTCAAAAACTAGTATGAGGGGATGATTGGTTAATTATAAAATTAGAGTCAGCTTCTTTGAGTTAGCTAGTTGATTTACATATTTGAAAATTTAACACACATATATTGTGCAGGAAACATCTAAGTACTCATTCAATGAATTTGAAGAGAAAGAGAAAACATATGAGGGAGATGTTTACTATATTGAAGAAGAGCAAAACTCTGTAGAATTCAGGGATAAAACAGCAATGCCTTGGAATGGTATTGTCAATGGTGTTGGTGGTTGTGCTGTGTGTGGCAATCCATGCTCTAAGAGATGCTCAAGGTGCAAAGTTATAAAATACTGGTAAGTATTTTATATATTATATATTCTAGTAAATATACAATAAAAATCACACTTTCTAATTAAAAAAAAATCATACAGTAGCATTAAACATTACAATTTCTAATAAATTTTATTATTTATTTTTTATAATATATCCTTCAACACACCTAAAATATTCGTATGTATATTTACCTAACCTTGTCCAAAGTCAACCCAACTAAACTTGTTAAGACAACGCTCCCTTTCTTGTTTTCATGATTTTTTTATAGTTATTTTATTCCTTTGACGATTTAATATTATATGTTTTCTGTACTTAGATGTAACGTTGATTACCCATTTAAATGTTATTTAGAACTAATGTTTTAAAACAAAGTCTTTGATAAGTGTGACACATATGTTAATACAAGTTATTTAAGACACTGACAAGTGTAAAGAAAATTCTTAAAGAGTATATCCTTTTATGGAAAAGGATATAAATCCCTTACATTTTAGCAATTTTGAAATTAACTCATATTTTTTAACCATTATATTCGGTTAAATACCATCACAAAACTTTTGTTTTACATGTAATTTAGTAAAGTCATAATGTTGTCAGATTTAATTAAGTTTTCAAGGTCATAATCCTCTTATTTTGATTTATGTCAGGTAAAATGTTTATTAGTTAACTTAATAAAATTAACATATTATATAATATTGGTAGATGTTGGAAACCAATTAATCAATATTTTAATGCAGAAACTAAAATTTAAAATTTTTTTAAAGCTCAAAAATAAAATTGATAAAAACAAACTTTTAAATTTTGATCAGTATCATCAACGTGTCCCTCGACTCCTTTAGTTTTTTCTTATTTGTTGTTTAAGCAATAAAAAAATCAACGTGACATTTACAAGATGTGAAACCTTTGAAAATTTGATCTTCATCAACTACTAGATCACATAATTAGGATCTTAAAAAATGTTTTTAAATATAATTCAAATTTCTGTAGGGTTCACCAAAAACTCATTCCACTTTAATCAGTTGACCAACTAGATTGGCTATGTTTGTGGACTTTCGTTAAAAATCTCAAAGCAACTATTGCTAATATATTTTCAATTATTTTTTTAATATAATATTTTTTAAAAATATTTTTAGATATTTAAAATTAGTCTTAAGAGTAAATGTATCTTATTATTAGTATGAATTTTATACCAATAATTAATTGTATTAAAAATCATACAAAAAATAGCTATTTTAATATTAATATGTTAGTAAATAGTTTTTTTGTTTGGTAGTATAAGTTTATGGTCTCACTTTCTTTTCTAAGAAAGATGCAACGAAGTTAATTCTTTAAAAACTAATAGATGCTCCAAATTAAATTATTTGCATTCTAGTTTGATAAAATAGGTAAAATTTTATAACTTGTTAAATTAAAGCTGTGCAATTAGTTAAAATATGTTAAATAATGATTAAAACAGTGTTAAAAATATTTTAAGTGAGTAAAAACTATTTAACAGGTTAATTATATAAATAAATAAATGACGACTAATATGTTATAATCATTGTTTATATTTTTTTTACAAAACATCTTTCCTATTTTATTAATTTTTTATAAATGTTTAAATAAACTATAAACTTATATTATCAATCGCAGTTTTTAATTTATTTCTATGAATTACAAAGTGGCAGAGAAGATATGTCTAATGTCTAAGTTGTGAAATTATACAACACACAGAAGATTTTTTATTTTCTTTAACTCTTTTATTTATTTATTCGTCACAATTTTTTTAATTTCTTTCTTTCTACGTCTTATGCCATTCATCCATTTACTTTCTTACAAGTCATAGCGTTACTGTTTTGTGGGTTTCTTTGGTTTCTTACTAATTTAATGACTTAAAGTCAAGCAACGACTGAATAGTGGATTACACGGTTTTATTGTTGAGTTTTGAGGGCATGATACTAAAAAAGAAAAAAAATATGAAAAAGGAGTCACAATAATATTTTTTTCATGTATAGTATTACATTTTAATTTTGAAGTTTTTAAATAATTTTTGTTGT